TAGCAGCTGTTATTTGTATATTGCTACGTAGAGGAAATCCCATTAGAACCTGATGTATGCATCGTGTGCCGATCCAGGTGCTCAGCCTCGCCGCCGTGAAGCAGCGACTGCGAAGAGTGTGTACCCGCCGGAAATCCGGCAAAGTGCCCGGAGGTGAGGAAGCTTTCGCGGCTTACAAGGACGTTGCGGGACGTAAGCACTTAGCAAAGCACCTCGTGAATTCCGACTTCAACGAGGCTAGCTACCCTCTGCAGTGTATGTGATTTGCTGTATCTAGGCACACAAGCTCTGTTCTTCCGCCTTGCGCCAGAAGCGATTTGCTGTTTTGATGCGGAAGACTGTGAAGAACGAGAAGGAAAAATCCTTGACTGTCGATGCCGGATGGTACACAGAGCAGGAGATGAAGGATAAGCTGCAGTATGATGGGTTGCTCGGAGGGCCAAGCCATGAATGTTACAACAATCGAGCTCTGCATGGTCTTTATACACTACATAGCTGTTAATTATGAAGCAGCCAGCTTTCTCCAAGGAAGACAATCAAGAAGATTGTCGATTTCACGAGCAAGAACCCGGCTGTGCTACAGCGGCCACTCTGATCAATTATTCCCCTTCTCCTAGTTAACTGCATAGATCGACTTGTGGATGCATGGCAGTGTGCACATGTCTTGATTGAGCTCAGTTAGATACATCTAAAACCGCAAGCCGCAACATGAGGAAATGGAAGTATGATGAATCCATCGTGCAACATTGGGTGGAAACCCAATGGTCGGGACAGATCGTGAAGAAAGACAGCGAGAAACAAGAGCATGAGGAAACTTCCGAAGCCCCCGAAATGGCCAAGGTTGACTTATCCTTCGAGACGGGGGGCAATGTTGCCACTGAGTCCGGGAACTCCGGGGCAGTGGCAGCGAAGTGCGATGTCACCTGGCCAGAAAACCCAGAAACGGCCACAACTCCTAAACCCTATATACACAAACCCTTTATCTTTCTTCCTACTTATCGATCCATCTATCTATGTATCTAGCTATATATAGCTAGAGCAAGCTATCTATCGAGCTATCTACCTAGCTAGCTAGCTAGCTAGCTAGCTAGCTAGCTAGCTAGCTAGCTATCTACTTATCTACCTATCTACCTATCTATCCATATATATCTATCTATCTGTCTTTACTTTGAATTATTTTTATCTTTCTATCTATCTATCGACTATATATGTATATATACATATATTTATACATATATATATATACTTTCTAATACAAACTTTGAAACCTTGCAAACTTGAAAAGGCCCCTAAAGCCCTGCACCATTGCAGATTCCCGGTGCTGCAATCCGAAAACACAATCCTGGACACAGATAGGAAATAGACTCTTAATTCAACTTCGTAAAACCCCTAAAGTCCCAGAGCCCTTTTAAAAGCTTAAGCCCTTGAAGCCCTGAACCCCGTAGTTGTAAAATCCTGACGCACCTATCCTACGCCTGCTCTTTTCGGCATGAAACTAAACCTTGAGGATCCGAGAGCTACCCTGGAGCGGGCGTGGTCGGAGACGCTGCAGAAGGTGACGAAGCTTCGGGAGAATGCATCCGTGCTGCTCGGGGTTCAGGACATTACTGATGTCCAGAAGAGGCAGGGTTCCAGGGTTGCATGGTTCTTACATAATTATGTAAGAATGAAGCCCTGCTATCTGGAGGCACGCCGATGCTATGCTGAAGCATGCTGATGCCATGGAGCAGCACTACGACCAAATGTCTATGCTCAAGGCTACGGCCTCCATCCGTGTTTCGGACAAGCCCCCCGGCTGCTGTAACTCATCACTCCGACATATATACGTTTTGGGAGCGCTATCTTCATACGTGCATGCATATCTAAGGCTCAAGGACGAGATGCTTATTTCCGTCGACACCGCCTCCGTGCTGAATCTTGCCTTCATGCAATTATTTCGGGTTCTGTCACTCTCTGCATGGCATGACCCTCGAGCCTATGTCATCGCCACCCAAGGGCGTGCCAATGTGTGAGCCTGGAGAGCAAGATTCAGCAGTCCCTTGCCGAAGCGAGGAAGATGCCCCAGAAAAAAGTGACCGGTTCTGAAAAGCCGGCAGGTGGTGGGCACCCGAAGGGTGGCACTACTCCGGCCCCCAAAGGCAAGGCGAAATCTAAAGGCAAGGCCAAGCCGAAGGCCTCAACCTCGTAGAGTCCTACAAAGGATCGGGCTAGGCTATGGAACACTTTCTTGCACAATTATGCTTTTATATGTGCATATATATATATGTATATATATATATATATATTTATTTATTTATATTTATATATACCCCACTAGGGCCCTATATTTTTTAACTGGTTTTATCCCCACACCCGAAACCCAAAAACCCTAAGTCGTATAGTTCTATATGTCTTCTAGATGCACTATATATATATATATGTACTCTTAAATTCTGTAGATCTCTATGGGATGTATAGTACAGGAGTGCTGATGACACATCGAGGACTGTAGCCCTGGGTACATGTGCGAGGTGTTTCTGCCTATGCCTGGAATTTTGATGATCGAATCGAATTTCTACGATTCAAGTTGGATTGTATCGCTGCTATCCCAGAGATGCGTGGATGGCGGCTTGCGAAGTAGGCTACGGGACAGTTTGTTGCCCACTTAGAATCGAATTCACTACGTTTCGCCTTAGATGCCCTATACTAACGTATCCCTATATATCACCCTATAAAGCCCCGCACATGCATAGATTTATGTAACTGTAGGTCATTATGTGCGATATACAATTTTGCTTGCTCCTAGCACAGGACTGTAGGCCTTGGTATGTGTGCAAGGTCCCTCTGCCTACGAGACTTTCGTGATCAAGCCGATTCTATGAATCGACAGATGCAGCTTTGTTCGACAGCTTGTGTTGCAAAGGTCAGCGAGACCTCGGGGAGATAAGGGCATCGCGATGGCAGCGAGAAATTGGTCTCGTTATGTCCGTCTTATGTACATGCATGCATACACATGCAGCTCTACGACTATTATGATCTTGGATTCTCCCTAACCACCTAGAGGACCTGGAGGCAACTTTAATTGAGTCCGAATGAAGTCGTCGGGGCCAGCTCTACATTAACTAAACTGTATATAGAGTATAAATATACACTTTCTGTACCCTTCTACAACCCATAAAAGCTCTTAGATATACAAGCCCCGAAGCTAGAAGTCCTACGCTTAGCAGCTTAGCACTTAATTTCCTCCCAGAATGGAGCTAAAGATATAATTTTAAGATGCCAAAGGACCCTCGTAATATAAACTTTGTGATGCTCAATTTCCACACCTCCTACAAACCCCTTTGACACCTCTCGTGTATGGCGAACATCATCTCAATTCCCAGCAACCTTCCTTATCCTGATTTATCTTGCAAACACACGAAAACCCTGCGTATATTGATTCCATAAGTCCCCATATAATGCTCTAAATCGTATGTACCTTAGGACTCGAACCGCTATTGCCAGGTCGCGCAGGTAAATTGGGCAGAGAAGCAGCGAAGCAGATCGTGCGAGGAGCCGCAGCCCCAGCAGCAGACCCCTAGGTCCCAGCAGCAGCGCCCAGCAGTTCATCGAAACCTCCTGATGCAAAGAGGGGACCGTCCAGTTGAATTGAAGCGATTGAAATTAAAGCATTTGCCGCAGATTTTCTGGCTTTGGGCTTCGATCTTCAAGCATGCACGTGCACTCTGACTACGCTCGAATCCAGTGAGCCTCGGCACTACTTACATATACACACACACACATGCATATATAGTGCAAGCTACAGCCTGCCATGGATGAATGGCTAGAGGAGCTGCTGGTTTTCCCGCAGTACAAGATCCTTGACTTTTAAGATCGTGCAATGCTTATAGACATGCAGGAGATATTCATTTTGCAACCCTTGAACCTCCGAGGCCTCTGAGACGATGGAACTGCAATTTGGACTACGAGAGGAGCACAAGCGGAACTTTGGCTGCACTAAGATGCTCGACAATCATGCAAACGTCAGAACCACTGGCCCCAACCTGTGCGAGATGTCTAGGTCCTTATGCTGCACCGAAAGTGCACTGGAAACATCACAAGTACCTCGGTGCTGAGATCCTTGCACTGCCCCGGCTACATACCTTGTGGCATCGAATTCTGACACAAAATGAAATCCTCAAGATTGCCCTCCCTGACAACATCTCGATGCCCAAGTCGCCTGGTGCGGCTTTTCGGTCTGCAGAAGAAATGGTGGAGGTCGTGCCTTGTTTGAGAGCAGACTTTATCGGAAGGTCTAGCTGTGTCGGTAGTCCGCTCGAAGATAAATCTGGGCACCTCAGGTTCTCACTGGTATGACGGTGGCCTACAAGATCGGCTTCACCCATGATCCGTGTGACAGAGTGCAGGGTTACCTGCAGGACGGATATAGTCGAATGCATTTGATTTATGTGTCGGCAACGAGCCTGCTGTCCAAGTGCATAGAAGCCCATTTAATTAGGTTGTACAGAGGCCGACCAGGCTGCATGAATGAAGCCTTGGGAGGTGAGGGTCCAGATCATTTTGATGGCCCTTATTTTGTTTATGTGGCTTTGCAGGCCGCCAAGTAGTTCCTTCGACCCCGGGTGCGGTAGCACATACGACTGTATGGGGAAAGAGAAGCTTGTAACTGCAAACATGCACTTCCTGCAAGCATCGCTTTGCATGAGTATGTTGCAATGACTTGATTGGGCTTACTTAACTAAATTGTGCTTAGGCCACTTCGGCGACGATCTCTGGCTTCGCTCGGGCAACTAGTGCTGCCTGCCGTGCAAAAGATGCTGTTCTGGATGGCTTAGCGCGTGGAGACGAGAGCCGCTTGGAGGACAAAAGCCACGAGTTGCAGCTAAGTTGCAATCAGCCCGATAATCAAGAGGAGCATCGCACCATCGGACCCATCAGGAATTTCAACACTGATCTCTACAGGGCGACCGACTCTTTAAATTCTTATATTTCAGACATGCACTCACTGCATGAGGTTCAAGGAGTTCGGCTTTGCGCTGGACGTGCCGATCTCGAATGTAGATGTTGGCTACGAGAAAGCGCTCATGCCTATGATTAGACCTACTGACTTCTATCAGCATCTTGCGGATCTGGGCAAGCTGAGCGTGCTGTACGGAGACCAGGATACAGCTGTTCTCACCAAGCGCCGTCGGCTTGTTTATTCTGGATCACTCTGCAACCCACCCATAAAATTCCTATAGAATTACACATCTTTTCTATGCACCCTTTCAATATAAACTTGTAGGCTCGATCGATAGGCAATGAGTAGTTGGATCTGAGAGAAATAAAAAGAGAGCGGGAGAGAGAGCTTATAGTCGTCTATAGGGTTCTCGGGGTTGTATAGTATTGAAGGGAATAATATACAGGCCTCTCGAATTATCTAACTGTTATAATTGAACTTCCTCAAGCTCTGTCAACTTCTGCTTGGCACGGCCTGTGCTCTCGAATGAAAGTATATTTTGGTATAGCTTAATGAGCCCAGAAAGAGTAGACCGCCTCTATAGCTCGATCGAGTGGAAATGCACCGATGTGCTGGTGCATGTCGCTTATAGAGACGTACTTCGGGATCTGAAAAGGCTGTTCACCTTCTATCGTGTGATTGAGTACATATATATATATATAAATTTAAAAAAATAAATAGCTAGCCTCTTATTTGATATCGGATTATTCAGGATCCCTGGGACTGTGTAGAGTCAGTGCCCACAAGATCTTCGAATCAAGTTAGCTAGGCCCAGGGTTTCCATAATTGTTATATACATTTGTATATATATATATGTACCTCGTAGATCGTACAAACCTTGTATACTTATGTAAGTATATATATATATATATAAATATATAGTGCCCATATTGCTGTTTAGGGTTAAATTGGGTTTAGGGTTTTTTTTTTCGCTCGCATCCCAGGTTCTGGGCCAGATTTGCAATCGTGGAGCCTTGGAATACAATCAACGATTCTTTTGAGGCTGGACTGCTTGTGCCAGAGAGGACAATCCCTTTGCTACTACACGGGGATGAGGCTCGGAGCAAGAAGCACCTTCCGATAATGGTCGCCAACACGCATGGAATTATCGGATATGGATGCAGATCTTTCGAGAACTGGTTTCAGGAAGCTCCACTCATGCGAGATCAGGCTGGCGGGGTGAACTTGAAAGGGTCTGTGCTGGCGACCCGTTTTCTGCACTTCGTCATGCAGAAGAAGAGCTATGGTCCGGACAGCATCTTCCTCGACCGGATGTTTGATGAGCTGGCGAAAGATCTTGCCAAACTTCAGACGCAGGGCATCTTGGTGAATGGCGAGCGGTGGCATCTGCCCGTCATAGCTGCCACTGGGGATTGGCAGTTTTTTGCTAAGGTGGGCCATTTGACGCGTTGCTACACGCACGTTGCCAAGCGGAGCGGCCAGAGGTCGCTCAACGGCATCTGTCATCTATGTATGGCTGGAACTGGAAATCTGGGGTGGGAAGACTTTGTGGACGCGCCACAATGGAACCAAACGATGGGCGCGGAGAATCCATGGCTGGAAACACCAATGCTCATCCGGCGACTACACAATGATGCTGCCAACCCAGCATCATTCTTTAGGCCTGATGTGTGGCATTCTTTACATCTTGGCTCCGGGAAATCCTTCGTCGCCAGTTCCATAGCGGAATGGTTGCGCGTGATCCCCGGCCACTTGGACCCGCAACTCCCTCATTAACAAGCCTTTTCATTCCAACACCCTAGACTCACCGTACATGCATGAATTCGACCCAAGCAACAGCTAGCTTCTTTTTTAATTGCCGAAAGCCCATGTAGCCCTTTCCACTCCTAAAATAGCCGCTGCCTTATTAACATTTTTCGTTTTCATGGGTGTCGAAAGTTTTTCGATCCCGGTTCTCTATATATTTTTTTATAAAGTTGAGCCATCTAATAGGCCGATCGACATATACAGAGGCATCTTGTCTACATAGATCGGTATCCGTCAATACCAATTTAAGGCAACAACATGTCGGAGCGCTTCAGCTATATCGACAGCGCTGCGCAGAGCTGGCTGCAAGGTCGCAACGACAAACTGTACTGTCGACGCATTTCCGATGTGACCATGGGCATCGACAGTTTGCAGAAAGTGCCGCTTGGAGGATGGCAGAAAGCAAGTGATACAACGCTGTTGCTGGAATTCTTGGAGCACTTCTGCTCGACCCACTCCGAGTACGCACACCAAGATGCTATTCTTCACTGGATTTGGGTGGCCGCCAGCAATATTAACTTGTGCATGCGCACGCTCTATCAGGGGGGCCTTTGGCTGGACCAACATCACGGCCATACGGCTGCGACTTGCGGGCTCAATTTTTTGAAAGCGTATGGTCATTTGGTTGCCCTGACTCTGGCGGCAAACCGAGACAGGTACCCCGTGACGCCGAAGCTGCACATGCTACATCATCTCTTCCTGGCGTTGAAGACGGATAGCAGCCGCCACTCATGGGCCTTAAACATCCTGGCAACATCCGTCCAACAGGACGAGACCTTTGTAGGGATCCTGGGGCGCCATTCACGCCGGGTGGGTCCGGTGCACTGTGCGCTGCGGACATTGCAGCGGTATCTCTGCCACGCTGGCGAGCAGCTCACGCCGGAGTTTCGCCAGGTGTGAAAATGATTCCGAGTTCGCTTCGAGTAGCACGTTCCACGTGCATCTACAGATCCAGGGCTTTCTTTTCGATCGGTGGAGGTTTAGGGATTTCCTTCTATATAAACCTTGTGCAATCCCGGCCGGGGTCTAAACCTCGATCATGCAATTAAATCCTACGACGGGTCCAAGGATTTTGCTTATCAGCCACAAGCCACCCGAATCAAATCCCGTTCCCTCGGCAACGTGTCTCTAACGAGCCGAACCTCTAAGGAAGTGCACTTATCCCTATAAACCCTAAAACCCTAGAACCCTAAAGCCCTATAAACCCTATATACCAGTGAATATATATATATATATATATTTAAAGCCTATAAAACCCTATAAACCCTAAACCCTATGAACCCTATAAAAACCCTAAACCCTAGAAACCCTAAAACCCTAAAACCCTATAGCCCTATAACCCTAAACACCTATATTTGTACAGGGTTTGGTTATCAATCCGAACGTGTTCCGCGGATACTTTTTTTCCGTACCCAAGAAAATGTATCAGTTTTAGCACAAATAGAAAAAAGTAGCGGGACACGTGTACTGGTATGGTATAACATCTACCCCCAAACCCTGTTCTACTTATTAAAGGCCCCTATATTTTTCTATAATTATAGTATAACATCTACCCCCAAACCCTGTTCTACTTATTAAAGGCCCCTATGTTTTTCTATAATTATAGTATAACATATACCCCCAAACCCTGTTCTAATTATTAAAGGCCCCTAAACCCTAAACCCTAAACCCATTTTTTCCTATCCCACACAGAACTCGCACTCCTCTTGCAGGTGCTCCGGCGTCGTCGGGTCGAACCCTAGAAACTTCCAAACCTCGGGGGGGCGGAGGACTTGTTTTATCGGATCCTTAAGGGAGGGTTTAGGGTTTAGGGTTTAGGGTTGAGGACTTGTTTTATCGGATCCTTCAGGGAGGGTGGTTCAAGTGGGGAGGGTTCCAGGAATCCTTAGGGAGCTTTAGGGAAGCTGGGAGCCCTAGGGAGAATTGGGGATTATTGGGTTATATACGCCTCTTAGAACCCCCTCCCTTAAGGATCCCAGAATTGTTGATCCAAAGAGAGGCCCTGTAGACCCTGGGCTTGGTGAGCTTTTGGGGGGTTAAAGGTGCTACCGGTGTATGTCTCATAGGGTTCTCTGTACCGCTTCTTCGTTAGGGCTTTATGTCATGGCTTCAATGTGCTGTCGAAAGTTTATAGGGAATAGGGTTTAGGGGTTCAGGCCCCCGGAGCGTTTAGGGGTTTAGGGTCTTACTGGTGTGGGCATGTAGGGCTTCAGGGGGGAATAAAGAATGTAACGGTTAAGGGCGTGGGGCGTCAATAATGGAGTGGAGAAAAGTAAAGTGTTTATGGCATGGTATAGTATCCTGAAGTGTCCTTGCACCCACACCCCGCAAAGAGAAATTAGAGGCATCGCTCCTTTTTGTCTGCCGCAAGCCTCGTCCCGAAAGGAGCTGAGGTTTGCGAGCGCCTGGATTAGGGATTTTGGCTTGACAAACCCCCATGAGCCCGTAATTCTTCCCTAAACCCTAAACCCTAAACCATCGCATGTTCGCTTCTCCCAAACGCGGCGCTCAGCTCGGTTCCTCCGACCCCGGTGCCGCGCCGATGGCCCGGAAGGCCAGTGGAGGCACCGGGCCATCCCCCGAAACGACGACGTCGAACTTCTGCTGGAACCTCAGGGGTTTAAGGTTGTTCTTGTTTTTGAACTCCTTTTTGGGCCGGGGTTTTAAGGGTTGAGGATTTAGGGTTTGGGGTTTGGGGTTATTTAGGGTTTAGGGCTTAAGGTTCGGGGTTTGGGGTTTAGGGATTGGGGCTTCTGGTTTGGGGATCGGGGTTTCGCTTTGGATTTCGGGGGCTTTTGCTTCGCATGGAGCTATGTTCATTTAGTTGCGTGTGACTTTTTCAGGTGGTTAGAGTTCGGAGCATGAGTCGGAGTGCTGTATCACGAGCTGATGGGTGGATGCTTCAAGGCAGGTGCCGAAAATCCGTGACCTAGCCTAAACTCTAGAACCCTAAACCCTAAACTCTAGAGCCCTAAACACTAAACAGTGCCACCCGAAAGTTCCAGTTCAGGGTCTTGGTACGCTTCAAGGTTCAATGGGCATATAACTCCCTGGTTCTTAGTAGGGAATGGGGAAATGGATCCCTATGATAGCAGTCCCAAAAACCCAATCCTCCATTCCCTACTAAGAACCAGTCAGATAAGAAGATAAGGTTTAACGGCTACTATGGGACCACCGGACCACCGATTGCTTGAAGGCTCATGGGTAGTTATAAGTAAGATTGCAAAGAACTTGGTCCTAGCTAGAATCAAGTATAGCTCGAGTTATCCTTGTCGTACGCACTCCTGTGTTGATTCCGGGACTACTCTCGTTTAGGGCTTCTTACCCTGGCTTCAAGATTATCCCTAAACCCTAAACCTCATACACCCTAAGCCCTAAACCCTAAACCCTAAACCTTATAAACCCTAAGCCCTAAACCCTAAAGCCCTCGTGGTGAAGTTCAGAAAGCCCCGAACCTTAGATCCTTCTGGCTGCGATAGCCTGTCTCTCTCTTCTTCAACAACCAAGCCCCGGCCCCAAACCTAAAAAAAAGAAGAAAAGCTCAAACTTTCTCTCCCCAAGATCCTAGATTAGAACCCCAAAAAGCTCCTCCTTGCCCTCACCAAGATCAGATCTCAAAACCCGAAAAGCTTAATGCTCTCTCCATGCCCACCCCCCCTCCCCCCGATCCCCAGGAGAACCCTAAACCCTAAACCGTAGACCNNACCCTAAACCTTAACCCTAAACCCCAAACCCTAAACCCTAGACCCTAAACCCTAAACTCTAAACCCTAGACCCTAACTAAACCCTAGACCAACCCTTGTAGCAGCGTTGTGGGAAGAGCCAGGGTGCTCCGGCATCCTCTCGTCGATCTTCTCGTTCAGGAAGCCAATCTGGGGTTTCAAGGGGCCAGGCTTTGGGGCTTGGGGTTTTGGGGCTTTAGGGTTTCAAGGGCTAGGCTTTAGGGCTTGGGTTTCAGGGTTGTAGGGCTTTAGGGCTTTAGGGTTTTAGGGTTTTAGGGCTTTAGGACTTTAGGGTTTTCGGGCTTTAGGGCTTTAGGGTTTTAGGCTCTAGGCTTGAGGGTGTAGAGTTTAGCATGTTTAGCATTTAGACTTTAGGGTGGAGTTAGGCGGTCGACTTGCTCGCTTTTGCTGTACCTCAATTTCGGGGCTGCAGCAAAGTATGCTGCAAACACCATAGAAGTAGCTCAAGGCTCCAGGAGTTGCAGTGAAGGAGTTCAGGGTATCGTTGTAAACATGCAGCTTGAAGCTTCTGCGGAACAGGCAGAGAACAACCAAATGCTTTCAGACACACCCTGAAACCCTAAACCCTAAACCCAGATATCCCGCATTGTCAGCCTTTCTTACTCGAGCAGCCAGAGCCCGAAACACTAGAAACATCAATGCAAGACTTGACGCTGCAAAAATTAAAACCCTAAACCCTAAACCCTAAGCCCTGAACCCGAAACCCTAAAACCTAAACCCAAGAGCAACATCGTCAGGAACAAACAGCACCCTAGCTCCATCCTGAAACCGCAACTCCGCAACCCCAAACCTGCCAATAACCCTAAACCCGACACTCCAAAACCCGCAAACCCCTGAACCCCGAAACCCAAAACCCTGAACCCGAAACCCCTAAACCCCAAAACCCTAAGCGCTGAACCCTGAACCCCAAAACCCTAAACCCTAAACCCTAAATCCTAAACCCCAAGCCGTAAACCCTAAACCCTAAATCCTTAACCCTAAACCCCAAACCCCGAACCCCTAAACCCTCGAGGGTCGCCCCCAGTGAACAAGTCGAGCCTTAAAGGGCTCGAGGTCCAAGCCCTGCGACATG